AAGTGTTATCAACATAATGACAACACTTATAGTTTTAAGATATTACTTTTAAAAAATCACGAAAAAATTATCGGTAAATATAGGTAAATATGGGTAAATATACCGGTATGACGTCATACCGGTATTTCTGCATTTCGGTTTGCATAAGGGTTTTCGTAGTATTACCCAAAAATATCGGTAAAATACCGATATTTTGCATATCGGTATAAGTCCCTGATATTTATATATTTATCTTTGTTACACTGAAGAGGGCTCAAGTAAAGGCCGAAACGTTTTTTATTTGTAATTTTAATTTTATTTCTCTGCGTTTTGTTTCTTTAATAAATTTTAAGATCCATTAAAGCTCGTAACAGACCTTAATTGTTTATATTTATCTATACTTATTGTTAATATCACGAGCGAATTTAATAATAGATACTTGATAAATTTAATCAGACACGCCAATGGACTACAAGAAATTTAGATATTGTATATTACAAAAATTATTCTTCTGAGTAACGATAAAAAATGTCTGCCGTCGCTTGTTGTCTTATTAAAAAGTTGGGTTAACAAAAAATTTTATAGACTATCGTTTTTCAATAAAAAATATTAAAATAAATTTAAATTTTCTTTTTTATGTTTTTTTCAATATTGTACGCATGCGGAAGAGGAGCAATAAAGTCCAATCCAATTTATGTCACTACACTCTGTCTAACAATCCAACAAAAGAATATCATTAGTTTGTGCATAGAGGAAGCAAGGAGAGCAAAGCAGGGAAAGTGTTGCGCGGGATACCTGCTAGCCAATGATACCTGCACCAGTACAGCATTGTGGAGTAGAGAGGCTTTCTGATAGGAGATATACATAGAACAGACGAGTTTCTGTTTATTTTCTCGTTGGATAGAATGTACACTATTAGCACATTCACAAGTAATATCTATCTCGTAAATCTCAATCGGCCTTACTCGCGTAAATGAGGCACGAGGTACCTCGCGCAGCGCGCGCACACTTCGTTTGCGCGTATACTTTGCGCGAGGCACTACCGTGCCTCTTGATTGTGATATTAATGATATTCCGTTGTTTATTATGTCTGATTGATATTATGTCCGATTGAGACTAATCTCATGTCCGTTTCAGCTATATCTGATTCAATCTGTTATGTATTCGTTTATTAGAGTGACACTTAATTGACCACAGTACGATTCGACACCAAATTATTCAACACAAAATTATTAGACGCATATTTATTGAACACAAAATTATTCGACACGGTACGATTGGACACAATACATTTTCAGATGTCGTATACATTTTACAAGTAAATATTTTGTTTCCATCACACATTATTGTACACATATGGGGAGAGACACTTCGCCCCTTCCTCTGCATCTCCATTCAAAAAACGCTAACTTAACCCAACTTGTGATACTACTATCATTAATTGTCATGATGCACATTGCTTGTCACTTGTACTGTGTCCAATGGTACGGTGTCGAATTATCTTGTGTCGAATCGTACGGTGTTGAATAATCTGGTATCGAATAATCTCGTGTCGAATAATTTGGTGTCAAATAATTTAGTATCGAATCGTACAGTGTCAAATAATTTTGTATTTAATAAATTTTTGTCGAATAATTGTGTGTCCAACAATTTGGTGTTGAATCATACTGTGGTCAAACAAAACACGCACGTTTATTATCATGTCTGATAGAGATTGTATCCAAATAATACACTTTGCCGTGTTTATTTTATTTGGTGCGCACCTGAATCTCCTCTTCTTTGCTACTTCGTAAAAAGAACACAAAAATGTTAAACTCATTTTTCTTGAATGCTTGAGAGTTAAATGCGTTTAGTAGTTTTATAAATTAATTGGAGAATAGTGCTACTATTCTTCCATTTTGTCCGCTTTGCTTCTCTTATGCACAGATCGAGAATTCTCTCATTGAACAAAGTGTATAACATATATCAAGCTTGTTAAAATCTGTCGGAAAGGATCATCTGATACGGTTCTCTTATTTATTAATCTTGAAAACTCAAATAAATTAAAAAGTATACTTAATTTTATTACTTACAGGTATTTGTCTACAAAATTTTGATAAAGCAGCATCTATGCCATTTTTCGAAATCTCATTCATCCATTCCGAATTTTGTGGCGAAGAGTGCTTATAGAATAATAATACTATAGCCATAGTAACCCGATAGAAGACCTAAAAGTAAAAAGTTATATATGTATGTATGTATACAATGTAACGTAAAGAACTAATATACACGAGTTTTGGTAGTAGCCGTACAATTGCTGGTGGCTAAGTAGAAAGATAATACTGAGTCGAAAAGTCCTTTATCACTTTGCAAGATTTACAAATATACATATGCATTCGCATTTAGTTAAAGTTAATTACTGATTTTTATGTAATATATATATATGTTGTTTATCTACAAACAATTATACGGCTATTACCAAAAATCTTATATGTATGTACTAATATACAAGTTATAATGTAACAAACTTATATTATGGAAACAAAGCGTTTTAGTGAAAAATGTTTCATATAAAAGTTTTATAAATAGAAAACATAAGATAGTGTTATTTGACTGTGAATAGTCATTTGAAGATCAAATAAAGCTCACCTTCAATTTCTCAAATAGAAACTTTTATTTTTTATTACATATTCTTATAGCTTATCTCAAAAGTTTTTCAAAACACTATAACAAAATATATAACAAAATATTTGTTTATTAAGAACTTTTCGAATTATAAGGCTCGAAAGTTACAGTACCGTCGCGGCGCCGGCCTTAGCATTATCCAAGGTATACCACGCAAGGTTATCCGGTTGGATTTACCTTTCGTTTGTTTGTTTGTTTATGTGTGTGGAAGAGAGAGAGAGAGAGCAAAAGATAAAAAAATATGTGTTCAACATGTTCAAAATGATGTCCCTTTACTACAATACATTTTAGAATTCTTTTACAAAAAAGAATTCTTTCACTCTCGGACGCTACCATAATTTCAGCCATAATTTGTAGTTACTCTTACATTCTCCAAAATCATAAACATGTTATACGCTTTCATAAAAATATTCATTTTAAAAATACAGACAAAAAATATTAACAAAAAATGTTAACAAAATATAATTTTGTTAACATGTTTTGGTAAATGTACAGAATAGGGGAGCCCCCTCCGAACGGCTTCTTTTTCACATATGTTATTAAGATTACCTTCCTGAGTAACAATATGAAGCTTTTAGCCGTCGCTCATTGTTTATAAAAAAATTATAAACAGAAAAAGTTTCATGAATAAACCAATTTTCTCCGACACCGTGTACATTTCAGAAGGAAATGAGTAATGTTTATGTTGCCAACAATGTGTGTATATATAGCATATCGCGAAACTTTCTGTTTTGTTTACATTTCTTCGTTCGTATTCGTCTTTTCGTTCAGTGTGTAATAGAGTTCTGTCGTACACGGTTAGATTTTGGAAATTTTCACCATGCGTTTCCATGAATTTTTAAATCTTACACACAATTTTGATTCTTTGTGGAATTTTTCAGTGATAAAAAAGTCAAAGTACGATTTGTTTTCATTTCTTTGTTGTAAGTGTGTGGGCAGGGGGGCTGCGCCCCCCCTGCACCCCCCTAGAAACCAAACCTAACCCTAACCTAAATTCTTTTTTCTGCATTCCCCCGCGAAAAATTTCCACAATGGTTAATCTATGTTACTACAATATCAATAGAAATGAATAAAAATTTTGCGAGGGAAAATGCAGAAAGAAGAGTTTAGGTTAGGGTTAGGTTAGATTTTTTTAGGGGAGGGTGCAGGGGGAGGCGCAGCCCCCTTTGCCTACATGTTTACAACACACGAAAAATGTATACAGTGTCGAAAAACGATAGTTTATTCATGAAACTTTTTTTGTTCATAAGTTTTTTATAAACAATGAGCGACGGCTAAAACTTTTAAAAACGTACTCAGGTAGGTCATATTTACAATATATCAAAACGAGAAGCCGATCGGAGGGGGCTCCCCTATTCTGTACATTTACCCATGTTTTATAACGTATGAAGCGATATGCGTTGCTGGCTTGAGAGTGAGCAAATGATAGCGCGCTGCGTCACAAAAATATTAATCGCTCCGTGCATTATTGTTATAATTAAATTTTGTATTTTTGTTAGATTAACAAGAATTAAAAAAAAATAGCATATTTTTCTAGCTCAAGAAATAAACATTCACTTCTTAAATTTGCGTAGATAAAAACGTATATTGAATAAAAAAATCAGAGTAGCTTCCCATAAATGAGTGTATGTCTGGTTATCCCGTAAAATAAGACAAAAGTATAATTGTCTATTAAGAGTTACATATTATTTTAAAAAATAATAGAATTAGATGTGTATTAATCAAAATCTTTATCAAAGTTTTTATGAAAACTCTTATTTATAAGATACGTATGTAATACTCGTCGTTGATCGCTTTTCTGATTAACTGATTGTGAGTTAAGGATATTGATCCGGCTTAGTAGTTGATACAAAGTCAACAAAGAGTTGACATTGCACATGTTAATGATTCTGGAAAGTTTCTTTTTAAATTAAGAATGTTGTTCTGGATAAAAGGGAATTCAGGAAAATAATTTGATGCACTTATGGTTCTCAGAACTATGGTAATAGATACTCGTCAATTATTATATTTATTTAAAACTAAAATAAATTTTTAAAATATTTTCTTTACTAATAATTTTTTTACTAATTAAAGACGAATTTATGTTGTACACAATTTATATTGTTACATTCTGGAGACTTTCCTCTTCTTGCTGCAACAAAATATAAATTATGTAATTCTTAACAATTCTAAAAAATAATTAAATAATGAGTTGCCAAATAGAAAAGGAAACTTATTTGAGATCAGAAACACAAATTAAAGTAGACAAATTTGCAATCCGGAAATAATAAACTAAACAGAACAAAGCAAGAGAAATAAAAAACCTCATCGATTCTGAAAAGATATATAAATGAATACAATAGACTCTCTTTATAGAGAGTAGATCCGGTCTCGAAACTGTAGGAGCAAACATTTCTCAGAAATCGATCTATAGCTGAAGCCCTCTCGACGTCTCGACGCACAAAACTATTGAGCATGATGAGGGACAACAGAGCAGAGATGCCAGATTCTATGCTTTGGTAGCATGCGGTAGCACACAGCGTAAGTATACGTAGCTTTGTGCGCATCTTCTTCAATGATACCGCATGCTACCAAAGCACAGAATTTGGCATCTCTGCGGCACAGTGAAACCGCCGCATCTACGTTTCCGCGTGGGAAGATATGATAGAGAAGTAACTTGTGTGTGCGTGAAAGTACGTGTGGCGGAGAAGGCGCTCATGAGGACTTATAACTAGCGAATCTATAGCGAGAGTCTGTAATTGGCTCGTGTAAAATTTGAAGAAAACTAGATTGGTTCTCTTATTTTCAGAAGAAAAGTTGTAAAGAAAAGTGAGAGGATATAGAACCAAACATTGCATCATTCAAATCAGATTCTGAGAGGTGCGGCGCTGCAAGCAACAACTTGTGTTAGTGAGAGTGCAATAATTTAGAGGTTTTAAGAGGTTGGAGAGAGGTAAGAGGAGTAAGAGAGGTGGAAACATCGATCAGGGAGGGTCAGGAAGCGTGAGGAGTGAAGGTAGGGCGAAAAACGCAGGAAAATAAAAGGAAAAAACAAAAGTAAAGCGGACGAGATAGCAGGAAAGGAGAAAAGGGGGGGCGGGCAGAAAAGTCCGCCAACCGAAAACATGAATAAGAACAAAAACAGATTCGAGATACTCTATAGCGACAAGGAAGACATGACGGAGGAAAAATTTGATAAAATAGCAAGAAATATTAGAGAAGAGAAAAAGGTAATGGAAGTAGAGATAGAAATAGATAGGAAGAGAAAAAGAGAGGTTAGTAGTAGGGAACAAATAACAGAGAGTAGCAATCAAGTCAAAATAGCAAAACAAAACGAAGAGCAAGATAAGCAAGAAGGTACAGTTGATTTTGTCACACAGGAAGCAACTGAACAAATAGAAAAAACAAAGGAAAACACACGGAAAGGAGAGGAAGGTGAGATGGAGAAAGCAAGAGACAGATGGATTCGATATAAAAGAAAATTGTGCAGAGAACTACCACTAAAAGGTAAGATAGGAGAAGAGAAACAGCAAGTAGGAATAGATAAGATAGAGAAAGAAAAAATACCATCGAATCTAAGAGGAGAGGTTAGAATAATAGCACACATACCAAAAAAGAGTGATATAGGGTAACTGTCC